GATGAAATTCACGTCCACGCTGCTGTTTTGCGATTGTTGAATTTTTGTTTCTTTCATCATCGCCTTTTTCAATGCAGTTTGCAACGTCAGCGTTTCGTCTTCTTCGCAAAGTTTTTCGAATATTTTGCTTGGCAATTCAACGACAAATTTGTCCAAAACGATACGTTCCAAATCACCAGCGACGAATTTGCAACCAAGTGATAACCTCTTCACACGTGCAAACCACGATGCTACACGTTCGTCGGCTCCCATTTTCGCTGCGTAGAAATTTCTTCGCTCGTTGAAAACAATTATGGGTGGTGTGTAATGCGCTTTCATCAACGCACACAAATCGTCGTACTTCTCTTTGCTCGGTAATTTCGGACTGCACAAACAATGCAGAATTTGGTATGCTTCTGCTCCGATCAATTTTAATAAAATTGAAATCTTTTGCTTTTCGTCCGTGCAGTCAATTTCAACAAAATGTAATTCAAGACGTTCAAACCACAAATTCCAATTCTCTGTCGGGTTAAACTCCGGCATCGATGATGCGGTGATGATTTTCGTGTCCGTCATTTTTCGTTGGTCGATGATTTTCATCCAATGCACAGATGTTCAGAAAAAAAATAGTTTTTCTTACGAGTACTTTTTCGATGTAAAAAAAATGTACGGTGAATTTGCTGAGATCTTGAGATTCTTTTCTCGCAGTAATACTTTGAGTTGCCCTTTTGTCGCCAATGTGATGTATCTCAGTTGAGTGTCGGAAACAGAAGAAAGTCTTTATTCAATGTTCTTACTAGCTAATGTCACAATGGTTTTATTCTAGTTGACAATGTGTCTGAATGGCGCTGTGGTATGAATGTAGTAATAGATTAAGTTCTTTTACATTTGCTATAATGATGTACTTTACGTACTCTACAATAACCTAAACAACACATGGAAATGAGTAGGAAGCCGAAATGTAAACGGTTCAAAGAGCCTAACCTAAATATCCAAAATGAAAGGCCAGTGGAAGCGTTAACATTGTAGTTGCGGCCCTAATGACTGCAAAAGTCATCAATCAATTTATCAAAGAAGTGATATAACATTTGTTATTGAAGAAATCTTTACGTCTAATCTAACAAGTCCCCGTTGGTAGTTGAAAATTTACAATTTAGTAGAGACCGAACGACAGAAAAATACAATGAGTTTTTCAAAAACATTGACAAAAGAAAATAATTTCCATTATGAAGCAATAACCGGTCAAAAGTTAATCACCAACTCAAAGGATGGCTATATCACAGTCAATGTTGCTAAATTTCCAATAAATACATGTAAATATCACAGATAATATCATTATTTCTATACAGATGTGAGGATGTAAGAAAACAATTTGTCAATATTTAATATTAAATTTTTGGTTCTTAAAATTTTGTACTGTGAATGCGTTAAAATAACGCTTCAGGCGCCTGAGTTATCAAATTCAGCTCAGGCCTACTCAGCAGCAAATATGCAGTCTCTACTGTTTATAAATAAAATGAAAGTATGAAGTTATTGAAAAGAATCCATTTTAAAACACTGTTGTAGCGAAATAAAACCTACGTTTTTTTAAAAAGAATGATAGAGATTTCTCCAAAATATTAGCTATGTCACAATAAAAGCACCAATGCACTTATACTAAGGGTGAGAACAGACCTTGCAAGTAAAATGCTTGCAGCGCGCATTTTTTTTTTAACGTACTTTTATATGAGATTAGTAGAATCACACTCGCATGCAAGTAAAAGTAGTGTACTCAGGGCTTCTGGAGCAGGGTCCGAGGGGTCAAATTACCCCTATGTGAATTATTTTATCCATACTCTGATTTAAATTCAAAAGTGAGGACCTTTTTTTATTCCTCACGTTTTCTGCGAAGCGGGTTTACACTAGATAGAATTGATTTTGAAAAGTGATGACCTTTTTTGCTCTTCACTTTTGGAATTACCCCCCAAATAAAAATTTGCAATTTAAAATTACCCCCCTCTGGAATGCTTGCCTGAAAGTACTTCACTTGCGTACAATTTGGTCGAAATGTCTACGCTAATGTCCACAAAGTAGATTATATAGAGCTGAAACTATTGAATTTCTTCAAATATTTACATATCTTTAAAAAATTATTCATTTTAACCTACCTTGTGGATGTTTGGACAAAAATATCGATCCAAAGTAGAGTGAAACTGGATACTGGAGATTTTGCATTGACATTTCCGACTGTAAACATGACAACAATTCATATGCGTGTGCTGTCAAAGTCACTTTGCCATGCGTCATTCACATTAATGCTTTGACTGATCGTGGTGAACAGTGGTGAGATTGGAAACGCCATACATTTTATATACATTATTATTTGTTTGGGAATTATATTCATTTATTTTCTTTTATTGTTGATATTCGGGCTCTGCAAAGCCTAGGCTTCATCCACGATTTGTTTTCCA